TCATGGCCTCAGCAGAGTCAGCGCTCGTTTTTTTTGTTTTTTTTTTGGATTGAAACATGGAACTGCAATGGTGCCTCCTCCTCCTTCGGATATCCTACTCCACCTCCTTGTCCATCTCTCCTCCTCTCCTCCTCCTCCTCCTCCATTCCAAGGTCTCGCCAGCTTTTCTGATGTGAACTTCCAAGTTGACTGGTATCTCCTCCTCCACCCCTCCCTGTCCATCTTTCATCCGCCACCGAAGTGCTAATTTCATGGAGTTTTAGGGTGGTTAGTGTGGTAGGAGGGGGTCTAGCGTGGTAAGAGGTGGTGCCAAGTTTTGAGACGATGCGGGATGAGGCTGATTTCCCGGTTGTTGCCCGATGGTTCCCCCTGTCTGCAGGTCAGAATGGCGAGTACAAAGTACACTTCTGCTATGGTAAAGCGGCATTGCAACGTGGATGGGGTCGCAGGGAAAGATCCAAGCAAGGGTGGCAAATGGTGGGTCTGCAAGTACTGTGATTTGAAATTCTCGGCCAGCCTGAACCGTGTCAAGGAACATTACTCAAAGGGAACCTGTGCGGCGGAGCAGAGCAGGAAGGTTTTCACAGATGAAGAAAAAGAAGCAAGGAAGCAGGGGTTGAGACAAGCTCTGGCTGACGTGGCGATGGCGAATGGCGACAACAGTCTTCCTAGTGGATCGAGTTTGGCTACTGCACCAACGACTGTGGAGAATGTGGGTAGGGGCATGGGAAAAGGGGGTGCAGCATCCGACACGCGACGATCCGCTTCATCTGTGCGGCAAATGGTGCTGGAGGAGACAGACAACATCATCACGAAGAACGAGATGACGTCAAGAAGGTCGACAACTGGCTGACCTGCACGAACCAACCTTTCAACATGGTCGAGAATGAATTTTACCTTCATATGGTAAATGCTATACGGAATGTCCATCCCTCATGGCGGATGCACAACAGGGAGGCCGCAAGGAATGGTAGACTGGATGGCCAGAACAAGAGGTGCATTGAGGATGTGCGGATGATTGCAAAGAAGTGGGAGAGAACAGGGTGTATGGTCCAGGTGGATGGGTGGTCCGACAGGCGAGGGAGACCGCACATCAATGTGATGGTCTCCTCCCCTGTAGGGACCGTCTTTTGGAGGTCCGTCTGTGTAGAAGGGAAGGAGAAGGACTCCATAGCGTACTACAACATCCTGGATGCTGCAATCCAGGACATTGGACCCAAGAGTGTGGTCGGGGTGATCATGGACAATGCTAGAGTTTGCCCTTGGATCTTCAGGGTTGGTTGCACAGCGCATGCCCTCGACCTTGCGTTGGAGGACTTCGACAAGCGCATTGGATGGTTTTCCAGGACGGTCAAGAGAGCGAACGAGTTGGGGAAGTTCATCATGAACCACGACAAGGTTCGTGCATTCTTCCTTGAACGTTCTGGCGGGGCACAAATAAAGAGGCCAGGAGTGACAAGATTCGCAACGAATATTATCATGCTGCAGTCCCTTTGGGATGGAAAGAATGCCCTCAAACTTGCCGCAGGTGCGAAGGGCTGGGTGTCTAGCATGGTGCGGACTGATCTGCGGTCCAACTTTGAGGAAGCCACGACCACTATCCTTGACGAGAGCTTTTGGGACGATGTTGAGAAGTCCATCAAAGCCACGGAGGCTATTGTGAAGTTATTGAGGATGGTGGACGGTCCAGGGGCCACCATCAGCAAGGTTTATCATCATATGGACGTCGTGGTGGAGGGGATCAGGACGTTGGAAGTCCTTACGGACTTTGAGAAAGCGGAAGTGGAATCGATCCTCATGGATCGATGGGCATTTATGACGTCGGAGCTGCATTGTGCAGCAGCATTTTTGGATCCGGAGTTCTGTGCACAGTCTGCCATCCACAATACGGAGATCCAGGCGGGGTTCAACATATGGTTGTACACATGGGCCTCGTCGGACGATTTGAAGGTCATCAGTTGGCAAGTGGATGACTGGGTTCGCATGAAGGGTGCATTGGGGTCGAGAGAGGCATTGGATGGCGCGCGATTGAATACCACGTCCATGTGGTACGACTCGTTCGGGTCACGCTTGAACCTCCTGCAGCCCCAAGCGATCAAGCTGTTAGGACAGGCAAGCTCGTCTGCTGCTTGTGAGCGCAATTGGAGTTCGCACGAACTCATTTTCGGCAGGAGGAGGACGAAGTTGCTGCCGAGGCGTCTCGCCAAGCTTGTGTACAATAATTGGAATCTCCACCTGCAGTGGAGGCAAGAGAAGGGGGCTGGCGAAGACGATGTCCACATCCCGTGGATGGAGGACTTACCAGATGCAGAGAACAAGGCGGAGGCAGAGCGCTATTATAAGTGGGTGCAGAAAGTAAAGGCGAGCACCGAGGATATGGAGGCTGGCGCAGAGGATGATAGCGCTGTCATTGCAGAGCTGGACGATGAAGGTGATTTGCCTTTGGCAAGGAGATGCGTGCACAATGACCGACTTGACGACATGATGCACGAAGAGGATGACATCGCTCATATTGAGAACTATACGAACGAGTGGCAGTTCTGCACTGCACCGGGGAGGCATAGAGAGCGCTTGTTGAGGAGGAGATCAGGGCACGAGCGACCAGACCCCTTAGTGGAGTACAACGTCAAGGAGCGAGAGCGTGCATTGCGGGCACGAGAGACAGGCGATTGGGTGGAAGGTAGATGCCCAGGGGGCAGCAGCGGAGCAAAACGACAGCAGCATGTTGAAGTCCGTGCTGTGGAAAAGCGCCCGGCCGAAGAACAACTTTCGTCGCCGAAGAAGAAGAAGAGAGGACGCCCCACCAATGTCGAAGTGGTCGAGAGGAAAAAAGCGGAGAAGGCTGCGAAGAAGGTTGCAGTGGCAGAGAAAGCTGCTAAGAAAGCAGCAAGGAGAGCAGCAGCGAGAGCTGCTAAGAAAGCTTCCAGGAGAGCGGCTGCTGCATCTGCGGATGCCCCGACATCCTCCCGCCTGGTCACAAAGGAGGCAATGAAACAGGGGGGGAAGCGAACGGCGGTGATCCTCGATGATGACGAGTGTGAAGAATCGTCCTCCTCTTCATCATCATCGTCGTCGTCATCTTCACCTTCTGCATCATCTGCAAGTGGGGAAGATCAATGTGAGGACCATGTTGGGAGTGAAGAAGAAGGGGGCGAGGATCAGGGGAGTGAGGAGGGTGGTGACAAAATTGTCGATGGAGGTGGACAGGAGTAGATTGGGTGGGTGACACTGGTTGTGCTTTTTGGATGGTGTCGATTCTAGACTCCAAATGAGCATGATGATGCTCATTTGATTAACTTCGAGGTTCCAATATTTATGGACAACACTCCACTTTTTCTGCTTTCTTCTCTTTGCTACTTTGCAAGTTTGCACGTGTTTGCACTTTGTTGTTGTTCTGTTTTGTGTTCCGTTTCGTTTGCTGCTTGTAGGTTCGATGATGACGCAGTGCGACAGCAACTACCAGGTGCGTTATATATCATCCCCACCTCACAGTGCTTTCAAAAAAAAAAAAAAAAAAAAAAGTTTTCGGACAGGACCGGACGGGGGATTGGACCTCCCCGCTCAATTCGCGGACAAAACCGCACCGGACGGGCGATGGCCCTACCGGACAGCGTGCGGCACGGTGCGGCCCTGTCTGGTACGGGTACGTGCCTGTAGGCCAGACGGGAAGGTCCCGACCCGGACCCCGTACGGCGGACCGGACCGTGCGGCGCATGGTACGGCTGCAAGTATGGTGTTGACGACTCGCGGGGCACTCTGCAGCAAGTCTTTCTTAGCGATCCAGTAAAACTCATTCAACGGGTGGTACAAAAAATGAGCTTTGTACTGTCTGTTTCTCCCCTTTCCACTGTGCTCGACAATTCTATCAATCTCGTGGCCGCCATTGATTGCGCGAGGGATCATCGATTCTCGATAAGGAAAAGTTTCGGGTGGTTCATACGAAAACAACTTTGACGCGTGAAAGACCGGGTACGTGCGCAAATGAGTAGGCACGTCGATCGTGCAAGAAGGACCAAATGAATCTTCCCCTACTTGGTTCAGCACCTTCCACGAACCGTCCTACTGAGGAAGAAGCTTTCGCGATACACCTTCAGAAAACTCATACATTTTGACCCAGACATAACTTCCCACTGTGAAAGGTGCAGGCTGACGCTTTTTGTTACCATGCTTAATCATGACATTGCGTCGCCTTTCCATAGCTGCGAAACCAACTTTCAGCAAGCGATCAAACTTAGCACTGTAGCCTGGCTGGCCAGGTGTTAGGCCAGGTGGCTGGTCAGGAAACAGATAGGATAGGGGATTGCGAATTTTCCACCCAAGGTGCACCCGGTTAGGTGTCATCCTGGTGGAGTGTATGGAGTTGTTGTACAACCCCTGCACAATCGGCAATTCCTCATCCCAAGAGTTCTGATCAGGCACAATTAGAGCTCGATGAAGTTGGATCACGATCTGGTTGATCTCCTCGGCCAGTCCATTGACTTCGGGATGTCAACCAAACGTCACCTTGAGTTTGATGTCATAGATCTGGGAGGTGTATTCCTTCCAATCTGCACTTATGAACCTAGTTTCCCGGTCACTCACAAGAGTTTTTGGGGGCCCACACTACACAACGTACTTTTTGTGAAATTCTTTGATCACAAGGTCAGTTGGGGCGTGAGGTGGTAATGGGATCAAATTCAAAAATTTTGAAAAGCGGTCAACGATCACCATTACTTGCGAATATCCATTCCTACTCTTATTTCCCATGTCCGTGAACTCGATGGAAAGAGACTCACCCGGCCCATCAGGAATAGGAAGAGGATGCAGCAGCCCATAGGGCTTCTGCTGAGACAGTTTGATGTGTTGACAATCTTCACACTCAGCCACAATTTTTTGTGCTATTCCTTTCATCCCATGCCATACAAACTTTTGCAACAGACTTCCGTATGTCTTTTCAATACCGAAGTGCCCACTCCGACCATGAGCCAAGTCCAAGAAATGAGTACGAATAGGCTCATGATTGGGTACACACAGGTGGTCGTACTTCCCGTAACGTCGGAAGAGCAAACCTTTACACTCATGGAAGTAAGGCTGACCGTTAGAGTCAGCCTGGATCTACTCAAGGATGGGATTGAGTTCCGGGTCCTTGGCAGTATGCTCAACTAGTTCCTCCAAGTTCTTACGGAGGTCATAGGAGCCCACAAGACAAGTCATGTACTCAGGGTGGCGATACAAAGCATCCGCAACGTGATTGTAACTACCTTTTGAGTCCTCATCTATTCTACCCGGAGAAAATGAAACGAGTGGAGATGGCGAAGCGAGGTACTGGCCCTGCGCAGCCACCCATATACCTCTGCCGCTGGACGTATGATGCACCTCAGGGAGTCTTTGCAGAATCCATTGAGGCGTGTACCACAGCGCCAAATAGCGTCGTAACAGCCGTGAGTGGCGATGTTGGTAAGAAATAGGGAAATTCTGGCAGCAGGAGTGAAATCGGAGATGACGGTAGCGACTGCTAGCTAGACTTGGATTCTATGAGGGAATTTAAATTAGAGTACAGTACGCAGTTATAGATCGGATTAGACTTAGATAGGATAAGATAGCATGCAGGAAACAGGAAACAGGAAACAAGGAGATTAGGGTGCATCATTACAAGCACCCACGTCATATGATTGTGATGTGGCTAAGTCAAAAGGCTGTCACTTTTTTTTTGTTTTTCGTTCAATCTTCGTCCTTCGTCGTTCTCTTTGTCTCTGTTTTTTTGCTCGTCTTCCTTTTTCTTCTTCGTTTGCCTCCTCTTCCTCCTCCTCTTCTTCTTCTTCTTCTTCTTCTTCTTCCTCTTCTTCTTCTTCTTCTTCTTCCTCTTCTTATTTTTCTTCTTCCTCCTCGTCCTCTTCTTCCTCTTCCTCTTCTTCCTCCTCCTCCTCCTCCTCCTCCTCCTCCTCCTCCTCCTCTTCCTCTTCCTCTACCTCTTCCTTCCTCCTATTCTTCTTCTTCTTCTTCTTCTTCTCACGTTAAATGGCTGTCGCTTTTTTGTTTCTAACTACCTTTCTTGTGCCGAAGTTTGAAATCATACACAACAATCTCGTGCAACCAGGGGGCACTGTAGTTTATGGATTATTCTGTGTCTGAATCCACTTCAAAGTCTCGTGGTCTGAGAACACTTTGAAATGGCGACTACCTTGTGACTGTTTCCAATCTAGTGCCTCTCTCAAGGCATAGAGTTCTCGCATGTAAGTGGAGGCAACTACCTTGTAACTCGGCATCGAGCGGACGTAATTCATCGCCATCATCTTGTTGCAGCACTGCACCAATCCCATACAAGCTTGCATCCATAGTTACTACAAATGTAAGTTTGGGATTTGCAATGCGGAGCACCAGATGACTCGCCAAAGCCTCCAATGCTTGGAAGGTTGTTGTGCATTCCCCATCCCATGTATAGGACACATTCTTGCTGGTCAACCTAGACAGCGGTCGGGCAATGATAGAGAATTTGGGTACAAACTTGCGGTAGCATGATGCACGACCAAGCAAAGAATGCAACTCGCGGACATTTGCCGGTTGAGGCCATTTGCGGATGACCTCAACTTTGGTTGCCTCGGGCTCTAGGCCTGCAGCAGACAACCGATGTCCAAGGTAGATGACGCTGTCCCTCCCAAACCGAGATTTCTCCAAGTTGAGATGGAGCTGCGCATTCTTGAGGATTTGCAACACTTCCTCAAGGTGTCCTATGTGCTCCTCCATCGACTTGCTGAAGATTAGTATGTCATACAAATAAACAACAACAAATCGATTGATCTGATTGCGGAACACCTTATCCATGAGACTTTGGAAGGTGGTCGGTGCATTCGTGAGGCCGAAGGGCATGACGGTAAACTCGTTCAGCCCACCGCGAGTTTTGAATGCAGTTTTATGCTGGTCTGAAGGGCGACTTCAATCTGGTGGTAGCCAGACTTGAGATCGATCTTGTTGAAGACCTTGCATCCACCTGCGGCATCAAGCAGATCATGAATACGCGGCAAAGGGTACGCATTCTTTCTTGTTATTCTATCCAGTCCGTGGTAATCAATACACATCTGTAGTTCCCCTCCTTTCTTCGGGACAAACAAAACTGGTGCACCGAATTCAAATGCGCTTGGCTTGATTCATCCCTTCCCAATCATGTCATCGATCTGTCTTCGCAACTCTTTGAATTCGCCTGAGCCCATTCAATAGACACAGCCTTTTGGAGGAGTGCTACCTTCTATCAGCTCGATCTTATGTCGAACCGGATGCATGGGGATTCCATGCGGTTCGACCAAGACTTCAGGAAATCGGTTGAGAAGGTTGCGGATTTCTGATGGAATTTCCGGAGGTGGATCATCACTTTCAGGTGCAAGCATACCGAATTGCATAGGTGTCAAAACAACAGAATTTGAAGCACAGTCATTTGGACTAAAAATAGACTTAGTAGAGGTAGAAGTATTTGCATTAGAAGTGGAAACGACATGCAAAGTAGAATCATTATGTACAACAAAAATAGAAGGCACATGAGCAGGCCTAACAAGGGCTATATACATTTGCTCATCAACTTTGCGCCTGTGCCACTTGTAGAATTGCATTGCATTGAGAAAACTTAATTGGGACTCGTGCGGCTCATCCAAAAGGAATGAAAGCTCGATTCCCATGGCATCTTTGACCATGAATTGTGAGTCCTCCCACGTGGTTTTTTCACATTGGGCCTGCAACCAGCCTAAGCCAATAACCGCGTCGAAGGGACACTTATCAAGGACATAGCAGTTCAACTCATGCGTGATTGTGTGGTCTGCGTCAAAGGTAGTGCGCACACCTTTGACTGCATGTGTAAATGTAACAACCTCTTGGTTGCCCACTTGACAATGATTCTGCAAAGTCATTTGCTTCATTCCCAAGCGTATCTTACGAATGTCGTGCGGTGAGAAGTAGTCGGCGGTTGCGCCACAATCAGCCAATGCACGGATGTAATGGCCGTTAATGTAGAGTTTGAAGAAGATCAACTTCGTTTTCCCTTGCACTTCATGTGAGCCCAACGTGTCAAGAGAGCATGAAAGTCAATTTATTCCGACTCCACCCAAGGCTCGTTGTATAGGATGTGCACTTTCTCAGCCTTGGAATCAACATCAGATGGGGTCTCAGGAGAGGTTTGTTGAGTGGGATCAGAATCTAGTGAAGGATTTGCACTTACATGTTCAGCCTCTCCATCTGTAGAGTGTGCTGATGATGTCTCTACCCCCATTGCTGGTTTCCCTACTGCAATATGAAGCAATGTTTTGGACTGAATGTCCCGGTTTGGTGCAATGCAGG